AGTAGTACCTGTGAAAATAATCTCTCTTTAGTTTGAATTAATGTTTATACTGGATGGTTCTCAATGAGAAATCTTAAACATTCTTTACCATCAAAAAGTTATTACAAAAGTATAGTCAGTTCAGAGCCATAGCTGTATGAGGCATGCATTTTTAAGCAACAGCTTCTAGTATAGTTAATACTTACAGGGGCTTGTGCTGATGAACTGAAAGAATCTTTAGAGAAAGGGTTCTCGAATGCATTGTCAGCAGATTTGGTAACTGGCTGGACACCTTGTCTGGGAATTGGCTTTGGTGGTTCTAGAAGAAGAAAAACCCAAGCAGTCAATAAGCAAGCTTTCCCCAGCAATAGGCACAAGTTCTTGGTCAGGCTTATCTTTGAAATTCAGGTCCATACGAAATGTCAACTGCAAAAACCATCTGACATTTTAACAACTTTCCCATGTACAGGTCAGTGGCATTAATAAATTAAGTGCATAATTTTTGCTGGGATACAGTAGCAGAATAAAAATCACCACCAAATACCAGGGCCCTCAATGATTATTGCAGGCAAACTTACCCCTTCTCAGAAGGGGAAGCTATACATATTTAACTGAAGTGCACTATGTTCAGAATGCCCCCACTTAAGGCTAAGGAGTATGGGTAAGAAGGCTTTATTATGTTGCCCTCCCAGTGTTCAGGCCATTGTCCTTCCATAGCTCTTGGCAGCACTTTTAAGAACTACCACTAAACACGGAGATCTTACAAGGTTGCAAGCAACCATCCAAGGCACAACAATTAGTCTTTATTTGTGTGAAGCAGCAAGAAGGAAAGTCAGGAATGGGAGAAGGAAATGAAATGTGTGACTAATTGCCTCTGTGAACAACTGTCTCATTTGTCAGGAGACCAGAAGAACTGGATGGTGCCTGGCTACCATAACTGAACAGTTTGATCAAAGATTCTATAGAAGACTCCTGATCAAAAGGCAGAAAATACAGAACAGAATTTCAAATCATCATGGAATCCAGACTTGCTGGACCCAGGAAAGCTGGGTGAAACTCTGACTCTAGTGCCCTAAGATAATCTTTAAACCATAAACCAAAAATGTCTCCTGAAGTCATTTTAAAACCAAATAATATCTTAACTAGTAAAGAATGTCTGCCTTGAGAATTGTACTCTTTCAAGATCTATCTAGAAGGAACAGTAGAGCCCTGATGGTGCAGTAGTTAAAGCTCTCAGCTGCTAAATAAAAGGTCAGTGGTTAGAATCTATTGCTCCACGGGAGAAAGATGTGACAGTTTG